GTTAATATTTACTGAGGATCTCCTAGGTCTTCTAAGCACCAGAGAAACAGCAACAAACAAAAGAGACACGGTTCCTGTTTTTATGAAGCCCACATTCTACTATGGATATAGATAATTTAAAAATAAACTAAACAAATAAATAGAAAAGGAACCTTAATGCAAGTTTTCAGCATCCTGCAGTTTCTGCATCTGTAAAATAAGGAACGGCTGCTTTGATGATGAAATGTGTGAATGAATGGAAAGCACTTAACACTGACCTCGTAAATAGGTGAGGCCTAGTAAGCATCTTTCTGGCTGTCTGTCCTTAAGACCTCAAAGCCTAAAGCAGGGTTAGATTTTAATCCTGTTAACAGCAAAGTAAGTTACCAAGTCACCTCATATATGAGATTAAACGTATTCTCTTATTTCTAGATGTCATTTCACAATCAGATCCATCTCTTTGGATTGCTCCATACCTAATGATCTGTAAAGATGGTTATTGTCATTATCCATCCACCTCTGAATTAGCTGGGCAAATAACATGATAATGTTTAGATGACCAAATCCACATTTAATGTATCTAAAGACCTAGTGCAGCATTAACAGAATACTCTGCATTTTAAGATATTTTAAAATTATCAATTTAAACAGAAGTCCCCAGAGGCTGTGGCCTTGTCTTGCTGATGCCACTAGTTAGGTTACACAGCTAATTCCATCAGAGCCATTGAACTAAGTGTTAGTGTGTGTGAAGAGAGTCCATGAGTCAATTGCCAACACAGAATTCTTTCTGACACAGGAAGGCAGATGATCTCAACTTCTGAGTGCGCACAGTGCAGATTTCTAGTTGAATGGTTCTTGACAATAGTGTCCTCTGAAACATAATGCCTGGCCAGGAGCCAGTGATTATGCCACCATACAAATCAGTGTGCATCTGACGCCAGAACGCCTCTGTGCAATGGTAACAACAAGAGTCCTCCGTCCTGGTGTTCCACAAGATGTTGCATTGGCTCTTTTATTCTTTATCAGACCCTGGAATTAAAGATTTTATTTAGATTGTTTTCAGGAAATAAGTGCTGGTGGAAGGAGAGGGAAGGAGAAGGTAGGAGACTTTGGCGTAGTTTAAGAAATAGCTTTGCTGTTTCATGATTCCCATTAGGACAAAATCAACCCATGTTTTGAAACCTAGTTTTATTAATTGTTTAATAGATACTTTCCCTTTAAATCTCTTGTTTAATTATAGAACTAAAACAGCTTGGTTCAAACTGTTAGCTAATGATCCATATATCATTTTAGGAGTTGCTAGCTGCATTTAGAAAGGCATTAATTTTGTAAGAATTATAGACTTTCAAATGTGAGTTTTTTTAGATTAACAAATTAGAACACAAATTTGTTTCAAATGTTATTGTACTCTAACCTATTATAAACCCAAAATTAGTAGAACATGTTTAAATATTTTAAGTCTTCATTTTAATTTGCCTTTAATTATCTTTTTACAATTAAAAGTAGATAGATCATACTGTATAAATGCAATTGGTGATATACATGAAATCTAAGTTATGCAGTGTTCTTTTTAAGAGAGTTATGCTCCAGTTAAAATATTTAGCCAAATTTTATCCCTATCTTTGAAACTGTTGGCTGATTTTACATTCCAGTGTTTTGAGTTTTTTTGTTTTGTTTTGTATTTCTGGAAATAACTCTTCAGAGCATTTTCACATTAAATAAATAGATCTAAGCATCTTATTTGATTGGAATATTTTCCCCGATGAAGCTAAAATTACCAGTGTTTCTTCTTTTTGGTTGCTTTTCACTTAGTAAAATATTTTCTTTTTTTATTAGCTAAATATAGGTATTAGCCTATTATAAAAATTGTTAAGAGTTTCTTTTAACCATGCCCAGCAATTCAAAAAGAAAAGAAAAAAGATCATTGAAAGCTTTCTTGTGGTTTGAAAATGTCTTCCAAATATTCATTAAACATTTAAGTGAGTAAATTTGTAGAATATGTTTCTGACACTGGCACTGTTCTGTGGTATTTCTCTGATCAGATGGAAGTGCTGTGTGTTATGCAGAGTGCATTCAGTTCATTCATGCATAAACAATATCATTTTCATAAATTAAAACCTCCCCTGCAGAAGGAACATCTGTGCCTTCCTTTGAATAAAAGATGGTGGCATGTGAGTTACTCCTTGACTGACTGAAAGAATCCTTATGTTTTAGAAAAAAAGTTATAGAACCAAAATGGGGGTTGAGGGGTGGGAATCCAACCTAACTTGCAGTCTTCATTTCTACCTTATAAAAACACCACAGGATAGATTTCCCTGCTTTCTGTTTTGAAAGCTGGATTGTTTTGATTGTTAGAATGTCATTCTCTTATTTCCTTTGTTCAAGGCAGCAACAGTTTTTAGTTTGCATGACAATGTCTAACTTTAATTACAGGTGGAATGGAGCTGCTGAATAGCTCACATCAGATCTCAATGTTCACTTCATGGTCTCTAAGGCTGGGAGGATGGCAGTATTCAGGTACCATATCAGCACTGGGTCTCTTAAAGTAAGAACAGTGAGAGCAGTCTTGGATGTGGGAAGCAACAGCTTGATTCCAAAACAACTCTGATTCACTTGGAATGAGATTATTGCATTTTGGATAAAGTTGGGACTAACTTAAAAGGATTTCCGTCATGTGATGAAGGCTGATGGAAAACATGCTGAAATAATATATTTTCAAGTGCACTCAAACATTTCCTTAATGTTGAAATATTCCTTGCTGCTACTGTCACAGCTTGATGTAGCGCCACTGACGATGTTATTAGTATGGCTAATTGTTCCCGTCCATTAGATTACTCACATTTTTCTGGAGCAGCTTGCTAAATGAGGTCAGCTTTCTGGAACCCCTAAATCACCAATGAGAAGGAGATTAAAGGAACAAGCTTGGGAATGGTGGTAGTCATCCAATGTGGCATCCGAATCAGAGGGGGAACAATGGAGTTACTAATGACAGTAATCAGAGCACCACAGTAGAGCCAGAGCACAAGTGCCAAAATACTATTCTCCAGGAATCTTTCCTGTCAGTCAGTACATCCAGAGGGACAGAAATGCCAAACTTTTTTCTTAGTGGACTTAACATGGACAGAATCATCTGGGAGGTTTTCCAATGAATTTTGTTTATGAAACAGCACAATAGTGCTCCAAAGGACGTGGGGAAACAATGACACCTTCCAACAATATGTTATAGTACAGAGAGTATGCTCTTGAGGACAGGTAATTTATTACCTTTATTTCCTGGAAAAATTATTGAAATAATCACAAGATGCTTATAGAACAATTGTAAAATGCCACTTCTTGGATTCTTTAATTTGATTAAATAATTTACCCCAGGCGTTTTCTAAAGATATATAACTTTTCTTCCAAAGGTATATAACTTTATTTTATGAATAGTACTGGTTTGCATTAGAGAACATTTCAGCTCAGAAAAAATGTACAGATGACAAAGCACCAAGGAAATGGTAAAGTGGTAAAGTTTTTTTAAATATAGTTTTTAATATGTAGGCAAACTAAGCTAGGGTACTTGTTTGTTAATAGTTAACTAAATCCCCCTTTAAAAATGGAACAAAACACTAACATAATAATTTAAAAGAATGAAAACCCAAAATCTAAATGTGAAGGCACTTAAAACAAAGAAAAACAAAAACAACTGTTTGTCTCTCCACCCCCCTCCCCCCACTCCCCCACTCCCTGCTAGCTTCATATTTCAAGTAATGAAATATCAGTTAGGTCCTTTTATTATCTACAAAAAGCTGATGACTCCCTAAGTAGGATAAGTAGACTAGAGAATAGGCTAAAGTAAACTTTTTTTGTTTTATTCTACAAATACTGTGTAGTACTTTCTTAATCCAGTAAATAATTTAGGAATTATTCATACTAAAAAAAAAAAATCACTTTAAGAAGAAATGCAACAATTGCTCAGGTTTTTAATACTATTTTATTGCAATTGAGTGAGTGTTTTCTAAATTGTGCATTACACCATAATATACAGGATTACAAACAAGATTACAGTACAGATCGATTCCAGTGGTACCAGTATCACATTTCAAACAGCACTTATTCTGGACTGCATTTTACATGCAATAGCTATTGTTCTAATTATGAATTAAATGATTTGAATTTATTTAAGCTACTGTACTAATTGACTACAATAGGTAAAAATCCCAACATTGACAACCTGATTTGATTTAGGCTCAGATTCATTACATGAATATATGACAAACCACCATTTGTGTGACTATGTATAAAATCATGCATTTATATTTTCTAGAAACATCAATAGCTTCAGATTCTCCGTAAAGTCGTGGAATGCAAAGGAGTTAAAGACTAAAAAGAAACAGTGCAAATTGTATGTGATAGTCAAGCAGCTTTTGATTTAAAGAAGGGTATGTTGGCATTTGTTTATAATATGTATATACAAGCTTGTGCAAGTAATGAATTGATATGTTTTGATAGGGAATACATCTCTTTTTTTTTTATCCTCTTGAGTGTTATGGATCTGGTTTTCATTTTAAAGAGAGGGAAAGACTTTAAAGTGAAATGAATTGCTCAAATTGTGCAATTTTTTTTTAACAATTAGAGAGGAAAGAAGTGCTAAGGCAACACAATAACTTTCTAAGCACTTTTCTGCTGGTTTAAATTAGTTAAATTATTTTGTATAAATTAGATATAATTCTACTTTTCTGATATGTATAAAAATTGATGAAGCTGCATGGTTTTAAAATAGGAAATCCACATTATAAAAAGTCATTAAAAATTCTGTACAAAATCACAACAAAATAATTCAGCATGGGAAAGGTAACAAGTATTAAAATGCTGGTTGAAAAATATATATTTATATATATTTTAATTGGCCCATTACTAGTTTAAAAATTGCATAGATCCTAATTATTGCTTGTGATTTTGTTATCCCGATCAGATAATTAATATGATCTGAATACAGCTACACCAAATTTGTGGTGCATTATTTTACTTTACTGTACTACTTTTTTTTTTTTTTTAATAGAAGAACTATAGAAAATAATACATAAGGTGAACAGGAACTTTGATTCCCTGTTTCTTCCAAAGGCAGTAACGACAATAAATACATATATCACTTGAAGCTTGGAGTATTTGCACTTTGCAGCAGTAGTACCCAAAGGGCTGCCTTTTGTAAACACGACAGTCACTGTAAGCACAGTGGGTTCGTTTTCCCGGGATGGTGAAACTGACGTGCCTCTAATCGTGAAAGATGGCATTGAGCTGGGCACTCATGACTCTCTCATGATGTGAATGGCTATCGAAGGACATGATATTGTCTATAGGGATCTCACAGCGAGGGGCAGCGGCGCCCGAGAAGATTGATCCGTGGCTTTGGGCCCCTGCCAGGTTCGCTGCAGGATAGTGCATGGTAAAGGCATAATTTTTCTCAAATTCCGAGGACGGTTCGTGTTTGAAAGAGAAGTTGCCATTGATGCTGAGCGGCGGACTGAGGGGTCCATCAAAGGAAGGGCTCGTGCAATCAGTCAGGGGGCTTTCAAAGAAGGGCTCCAGCGCGGCGCTGTAGGCGTGCGGCGGAGGCTTGACGTGGAAGACGTGGGAGCTGTCCATGGTTCCGTATGGCGGGCTGGGCAACCCCGGCGACTGGTAGGAGTAGGGGTGCACAGGGAAGGAAGCGCTGGCTGTCGGCAGGTGCGAGGGCATTTCCTGGTTCTGCTCAGGCAGGAAAGTCCGAGGATTGAGCTGCAGGCAGCCCGCAACTAGGTTGGTGGTGGGCTGGGATAAGCCCTTGCAGAGCGTCTGTACGAAGGAGACCAGATCAGGGCTTTTGCCGGACCGCAGTATCTCCGACAGAGCCCAGATGTAGTTCTTGGCCAGGCGCAGCGTCTCGATTTTCGACAGTTTCTGGGTCTTGGAGTAGCAGGGCACCACCTTGCGCAGGTTGTCCAGCGCCGCGTTCAGACCATGCATGCGGTTCCGCTCCCGGGCGTTGGCCTTCATGCGCCTCAGCTTAAAACGCTCCAGGCGCGCCTTGGTCATCTTCTTCTTTTTGGGGCCGCGTCTTTTGGGCTTTTGATCATCGTCCTCCTCTTCCTCTTCTTCCTCCTCTTCCAGGTCCTCGTCTTCGTCCTCCTCCTCACCCCCGTTCCTCAGAGAGTCCTCTTCCGCATTCATAGTTTCTAGGTCGTCCTCCTTTTTGTCTGCTTCGTGTTCCTCGTCCTGAGAACTGAGACACTCGTCTGTCCAGCTTGGAGGACCCTGGGGATGAGCTTCGCCCATCAGCCCGCTCTCGCTGTATGATTTGGTCATGTTTCAGTTTCCTACATTCAATAGGGGAGAGAGGAAGACAGAAAGAAAAATGAGAAAAACACTACATTCAGAAACTTCAGATGACTTCAACTCCCACTTCCTAGCCCTGCAAAAATGCATGTGAAGAGAAGTACCAGATTATTACAAAATGGATGCCCCGAAGGAAAAGTTGAATGTAGTGTTTTATAATGGCACGTGTGTGCCCCGCTGGTACGTAGGAGACAAGACAGAGCTGGGGTGAAGGCGAGAGTGACTATGTGTATATGTACATTCTGTGTGTATGTTTCCTAGTGACTAACTTAAGTCTGTTTATGGTGACTGCCGGGCTGGATATTATGTGTGAAAATGAGTGTACATTTTGGTGACTTCATGCTTATCTGCATGACTTCCGAATCATAACTCCACAAAAATAATGAGTTTGAACATTGCAATTCTGTTCCCATCTCTGTCCTGGCTTCTCAGTGCTCAGCGATTAAAGTTGAAGAGCCATTAGGTAATTTACCAGCGCTGGCAGTGATTTTTAAGAAGATTACACTAACCGGAGATTGAAGAGAAAATGCATGGTGGCGGAAAAGTAATTTCAACCAAATTATTTCACAATCAGCAAAACATTTGGCAACAAAAGTGGGCAGGGACCTTCCATTCCACACTTGCCTTTCTTTTCTTGCCGCCCAACCCTGGCCCTCTGCTGAAAATCCACCTCGCACAAAAACACTTGCTACGGGGCTAGGGCTGGGGGCGCAGAGCGGAGCGCTCTTCCACAGCCGGGGATCAGGTGCGGAAGGCTCCTCTCTAATAAACAGCCCATTGAAAAGGCCGCCCGCTCTTTATTGGAGCTTTTCAAAGTTCGCCTCAAACCTCCCTTTAAAAGATTGAGTAATTACAATGGTCAGCGATTGGCAGTGGAGAAGTTGCCGCTTTTAATAAGGGAAATAAAAAGCATTTAGGGAGACAACTGAATTTCTGGCTCCTGCAGTGGCTGTTGGAAACTTGGCCGCATTTGGACCAGTAACAGGTAGTAGGAGTGAGTCCCTCTCCCTTTCTCCACATTTCCTCTCCTTTCAGCTAAACTTCTCTCACCTCGGTTTATTTTCCAGGGTGTGTGTACCCAAGGTATCAATGTCCCTTTCACTTACTGCAGAAATAACTCTGCATTTCCAAAGTGCATAAAATACATGCACACAAAATAAATCTTGGTAACAAGGGCTTTTTTTTTTTTTTTTTTTTTCTTATTGGAAGAAGTAAGAAAGTGAAGTAGTTTGTTGCTTTCTGGACTTTGAAATTACCACTAGCAAATAATCATGAATTATTGTGCATTATTAAAAACCCAAAGATGCTCCTACTCTTCACCCCCCAATTAAAACAATTTTTTAAAATTAAGCCTGCAGTAGGTATTTCAGTGACGTGAGTCAAAATATGTGCCTGCAATTATGGGGAGGAATACCTGTCACACACACACACACACACACACACACACACACACACACTATCTAGGGACATCGGTTCTTCAATTACTGTTTTTATTTTCAAGAAAAAAAAAATGAAAGAATTGCAATTACCTGTAGTTGTTAGTAGTTCCTGAGCAGTGATGGTCTCATAACCGTGGGGCCTCCGGACGTCGTGCCTTCTGCGCGGGACGAATTCCTCGTGTCCTGTCCGCGCGGGCGCTCAGGTTATATAGTGGAGGTGGTGATGCTGAGAGCGGGCGGGGCGGGTTGCTGAGCCGCTAGCAGGTCCCTGCGCCCAGCGCCTGCGCACGCCCTTCCGCCTCCGTCTCCCCCTCCTCGCTCCCCCGCCCCTTCAGCCTTGCTCCTCTCCCACCCTCCCCCTACTCTTGCTCCCCTCTCCCCCACCCCTACCCCCGCCCCTTCTCCTTCCTCCCCGGCATGCGCCATATGGTCCTTCCAGTCCGGCCAAGAGCCGGGAACCACGTGACCTGCCCATTTGTATGCCGCGGAGTGCTCCATTCCGGCCCCTTTGTGGCCAGAAGAAAGTGGCCCATCTGTCGCCAGTTAGAGACTCCGCGGACCTGTTTTTACCCGCAGGAGAGATTAACCCTTTCAGGCGGCAGAAGGGAGAGGAGCCGCCGGCGAAGGAAGGGAGGGGAAAGGATTTGAGGAAAGGAAGCGGGAAAGCCAGCGGACTGGGTTTCGATCAGAGAGAGAAGCCAGCGTCGGGCCGGGAAGTGGGGCAGAAGTGAAAGGGGCAGCAAGGCGGAGACAGGCGTGCAGCGAAGCGTCCTTTCTCATTTTGATCACTCGCCCAGGCACTGCCCTCCTGGGCACCGAGACTCCCTGCCCTCTCCGAGGTGCCCATCTCTTGGTTTCTCCCCCTTGGCAGACGCTTTGCTCATTGGCACTAAAAGGTGGCTTCTACTAATCTCCATCAGCCCCTTAAGCAGACTTACATGCCATATAAAGCGGCTTCATCTGAAAAGCAGCGTTGAGACTAGTTCTTTCACCCCCTTAACTGGATCGCCCACTCCCAACCCCTCCCGTAAAGTAAGTTTGCACCTGTCATGCTCCCCACCCAATGAGCCCTGACCTTCAGCTACCCTTGTTCCTGGAGACCCCTCACTAAGTCGGGCCACTCTCCCGGGGCCCCTTCAGAGAGAGAGAGTCCGTTAGCTCAGGCCTTGGCTCGGTTGGCTTCGGAGCTCTGTTGCATGAGAACTGGGAGATTTCTCTGACGCGTGGATTCTGCCTTCTAACCAAGGCATTGGATTGTTGCAAAGGGTGCCCTCACCCATAAGTCGCTAGTTCCCTGCCACAGGCTGCCTTATCCCCTAATCCCCACGCTGTAAATAGGTATTTGGTTCAGAGACGACTTCTCAAAGGGAGGACGCAAAGGGCCTGTGCTAAATGGGTCTGTTTCGCTCCTCTTTAGAGCAAGGCCACTAGCACAGTTCTGGGAAGTGCTAAGAGCCACGACTCCAGAACTCAAAGACTCTGACTTGATGCGACCTCCATCTTTCCGGTCATGCAAAGACCACAGAGCTTCCCGACTAATTAAGATGGAGCCTTATTTGTATTTAAATGGTGGGTCTTGCTTTATTCATTCGTTCCCAGAAAGGCATGTCAGACAATGGTATATATATTTAAAAGTTGGCCCGAGCCCTTCTTTGTCTTCTCTTTCTCTGTCAGCTTCACCTCTAATCCTCAGTTAACTAACCCCTCCCAGACCCGGTAGCCCCTTGCAATAAAAGCATTGAACTTGAATTGCTTATTTGAAGGCAATTGCTCTAAAAGCCCCTTGAGCCCTGGCGTGTTTGGCTCAGTGGTTAGAGCGTCGGCGGGCAGACCAGAGAGACCCGGGTTCGGTTCCCGCTAAGGGCACATACCTCGGTTGCAGTTTGTCCCCGACCGGGTTGGGGTTGTGTGGGTGGCAACCAGTCGATGTGTCTCTCTCACATCGATGTTTCTCTCTCTCCCTTCCCTCTCTCTCCTGCTCTATCTGAAGATAAATGCAAAAAAAGTCCTCTGTTGAGAATTAAAAAAATAAAATAAAAGTTCCTTGAGTTTGCAAACAGTGTCAGGGTTGGGTTGCTGGAGCTGGGTGTATCTGGGGACAAGAGGGGGGGGAAGAGGGTCCTAACCAGATCGCTGCTGTCCGGAAAGTGGAGGATGCTGCTTTCCCCTCCAGCACAAATCTGAAAGGGGAATAAAGGGATGTGTGACTTGATCGGTTGCCCAAATCATGACGTGAATTGTGCTCAGTTTCCAGAGCAAACTGTACGGACTTTTGCTTTTCTGCGTTCTCTCGTCGGTGTACAAAAAGCACAAAGAAGGATAAAAGAAATAAGCGAAGAACCTCGTCTCGGTATTTATCAGTGTATCTTTAGTGATGGGTTAAAACTTGAGGGACATCAGAGTAATAGCCTACAGAGGCCGGTACACAACTTGGATGTCCGAGGACAATTGTGCAAGGGCCGGACCAAGTGCTGCTACTCTCGACGGCCCGCCTGCTGTGTGTCTAGGTTGTGGGATTGTGTCCTGGCTCCCACTTCTCAATCTTAGGGCAAGTAGAATCTGAGGGAGGAGTTAAAGCCGGGGCCAGCTGCCCTAGGCCCTAGGGTGGCCTAGGGGATTACCTGCCCCGCCCCCGCCCCCAACTCCCAGAAGGAGAAACTTCCCCAGTTTTCGACGTCCTGTGGAACACAGGAAACTCTTGGTGGCGCCAGCTGTTCTCGGGCTGGGAAGTAAACCCGGGTTTTCACCAGCCGAGACCCTAATGTGCAAAGTGCAGGAAATAATAGATTCGTTCCCCTCGCCCAGATAAATTCACCCCTAATCCCGTTGCCCGTTGTTCGCCCAGGCCGGGGGATTTGCACCAAGAAAAGGCCACTCCTGGATGTTCCAGAAACCTGGCGAGGTTCAGTCTCCCAGCCCTGGACGCTCAGGTACAGACCTGCCTCCTGGCGCCGAACGTTTACCTGCATCCGGGTGCGCAGAGTGCCCCCAGGACCCCTGGGGAGGCTGCAGGGTGGTAGTCAGTCCCTCAAAGGAGGAGTCCAGATTAGGTTTAAATTGAGGCGCTTTTTGTTGGGAGGGGGAGGGGAAATCGGGGCCATCGGAGTGGCAGCAGGAACTCGAGGAGAAACTGCTCAGGCGCGGAGAGAACAGCTCAGGCGCGGCGGGGCTCAGTATCGCGGACTGTCCCGCAGCCCAGCCCCGCCTTCTTATTTTCCTCTTTCTTTGAACTTTGTTTCGACGGTTGCACACTTTTCTCCTGATTCCCTAAACTCTCTCCCTCTGGCCCTGCTGCCCGTCAGCGGTCTTCCCTCTCCAGCTCCGGTCCCCACTGGGCGCTGCAGGCTGCTGAGCGGCACGCGAACAGCACGCGCAGGCAACAAAAGCCGCTTTCATGACTCACTGCCCTCGAGCAATGCCCCAAATCTGTCGCCCCCCGGGTCCCCGCTCCAAGCGCAGCGCGGGCCGGGCGGTCCCGGCGGTTAGAGCGGCAGCCGGAGCGCAGAGGGGAAGGGGGCGGGAGGAGGCCTGCGGCTGGGGAGGGCCAGGGGAGGGTGGCCTGGGCGGGGAATGTGGGGGGGAGGGGGCACTGTAAGTGTGTGGGGAAGAAAGGGGGGATGGAGGCGTGTGGCTGGGACATAGGGGGTGGGAAGTCTGTAGCTGGCAGGGGAGCGGGGTGCGATGCATTCACAAGGCCAAGATAAAGAGCAGGGGCCGGGCCGGCGTCCCTGGTGGTGACCTGTTTCTCGGAGAAACAGATGCTTGCTTTTGCAAAGGGAAATTTGCGTTCAGTGAAAGAACCGACTGTGGCCAGGGCTGCCCCAGAGGGCTCCCGCGGCTCCCGCGTCCTCTTCCCGACCCTCCCAGGAGGGGGCTGTCCTGACCTGGGCCAGTTCCAGGAGCGGGAGGTGGCGTGTGGCTGAGGGGCGGGAGAGACCGTGGGACACTGGGGCCTAGGGAGACCTGAGGGGGTGTTGCTGGCTGGATCCAGATCTCGGGCCTTGCTCCGGGTTTGCGCCTTGGCCTACAGGGAGGCCACTGGGAACCCTGGACAGAGGATGGAGATGCCTGGCTTCACCAGGCAGTTGGCTGGGGAGAGCCGGGAGTAAAAGAGAAGCTATTAAAATGCCTCGCCGTCGCCCCCAGCGAAAAACCCGTCCTCTCCAAATCTCCTGGGCTTGCGGCATAATCTTAATTAAGATAATTGATTCATATTGCACCTGCGAGAACAGAAAAAAAAATTGATTCCAACCCTCAACCCCACAAATCGCTTAGAGCTATTGGATGGAGCACGACGCGGCTGTGATTGGGGAGTGATTTAGTACTGGGCTTCCCAGCTCCGGCTGCCTGGGCTCTTTTATTTATTATTTATGTCCTCCAGGTCCCGCTGGGACCTGGGTGGCGCCCCTGGCGGCGCCTACAGGCATCTTAGGGACTTCATCTCTGATTCGGTTCAGGAGTGGAGGGGGTTTCCTTAAACCATCCAACAAGCACATCAACAATGTAAAATCAACTCACTCAAAGCACTTACATGATCGCCCAAGGCCTCGTGCATCAAATAGGCTGTGTGTGTGACTGTGTGAGTGAGCTTAAGTGTATAAGTGTATTTGATTCCAAGAGTGAGTATATAAACGTATGTGAGATTGTGTGTGAACGGGCGTGTATATGAATGTATAGGCGTGTGTAATTGTCAGTGTGTATGAAATGTGTAAAGGCTTTGTGTCAATGAGCGTTTATGAATTATGTGAGGGTGTGAGTGTGCATGAGTGAGTGTGTTTCTGGCAGCTCCTGCCCTCAGGTGAGGAGCCTAAACACCTATTTTCTCCCGGATTGAGGAACAGTTTGCGGTCTACAGGGAACCAAGAGGTCGGATAGCCCTGGATGTGTCAACCTTTGCCCTAGAAAGCAACAAAAAAAAGTCTCTGGTAGCTGGGTGTAGCTGCAAGTGTGGAGAGCAAAGACACCCCGACGGCACCTGGGCGTCCCCTGAACAATGCCTGCTGCAGAGGGTTGAGGAAGGAGATCGTCAAGTTCGTGAAGGCCGGGTTTAGAGCCCCAGGCAGCTCGTAGAAAGAAGAAAGGGCTTCTCGGAGGAATCAGCACCCTGGACAATTCCCCCTTCACTGGCCCTGGTAAGGGCAGTATTGAGATTCAGCAAAACCACTCCCCTTCCAGCAGCTTTCGCTTGTCCGTTTCCCTTCTTTCTCAAAAACACTGACCATCACAAGA